CCGGCTGACCGGACCAGTTCGACTGAACTGGACCGACGGCTCACTCGGAGTCGGTCATTCGCTTGACTATGTGCAGCTCTGTTTGACCGTGGTCCGAGTTCGGCGTGGCGACTCGGGCCGGCACGAACTCGACTGACACGGCTTAGCCGATGCACGAGTTTGAACGGTGCCACGGTCACTGAAGCAGGGGCGTGCTTGGACCATGGCTAACAGAACAACGCGTAGACGGCAGGTCGGATGGACTCGGTGCACGGGCACGCACTCGGGAGTTTGACTCGGACTCGGTGCACGGGCACGCACTCGGCGGCTCAGCTCCAACGGTCGGACGAGAGGCGGTCACGGGCACGAGACGGTGATACGTATTACGAATTGACGATAAGACGACTAATAATTATCCAGACGGTACTAGGGTTCAATCATATAAAATCGGATCCAGAAATATACCCGGTTATCGGATCCAGATAAAACTAGGGTTTTTATTCCAGAAAATCCTAACTCAATTAAGGCCGATAATTAATATACACATTCTATGTGATTTATAATAAATCTATAATCCACAACTGCAGCTAAAGTCTCAATCAAACTATTATTTTATTTTTACGGCATTAATATCTAAAGTCTCGATTTTTATAACTAAGTCAAACAACATCCAAAATTTACGAAAATCGAAACATCACATCCTCAATATATGTATGGTCTATGGTCAACATCTCAAGTCAAAAGTCAACTCCTAACTTAGTCAACTAGAAATCGCTACGACCGGTCAACGCATTTGACCGGCCCGTTTATCTATCAAACGACGTGCGAAAAATCTCAAATTTCAGCCTAAGCCTCAAAATGACGTAAAGAATTTTATAGTATTTATTTAGGTATTTTATCACATATATTTCGACGGGGCCCAAAAACGGCTTTAAGCTCGAAAATCCCGATTTATTCAAAATCACTCAAATCACATATCATTTTTCTCTTATCCCATTTATATTATTTTGTCTAAGCCATAAAATGTGAGTTTTAGTAATTATACCTCACAAGATCGGAAAAGAACGGATCGAACTAGAAAATGGAAGAAAAACGGAGCAAGGATCCGGTCGGGTCGAACCGGTCCGGTTAGGGGCTGTGGATCTCGTCTCTGGAGCTTTAAGGTTGCTGAAAATGGGCTGACACTGCTGCTGGTCGCGATTTGCAGGCGTGGGGTTCGGTTCTTGAGGTGTTGGCCGGAGATCTAGCTATTTCCGGCGAGAAAGACGTGAAACGGGTCCGAACGTGCTGCTGAGCTTGGAGATGGAAAGGAGCCGCGACTGAGGCCGATGGATCTACTGGACGTTCGCCGGCGCGACTTTGTCCGGAAAATGGAGCTCGTGAGGGTGGCTAGGGTTTATGGTGTTGTGTAGTTGGAGAAATAAAGACAATGTCTATTTATAGCATGTAGGAAGATTAGGGTTTCTTCCTCTTGGTTGGCCTTAAAAAAAATCGGGCTTAAGATATTGGGCCACAAAATTAATAATGTCGGGCTAGTAAAAATCCTAACATCTGGGCTTGATTATTACGGAGAATGACTAGGAATTTAAATATCGGTCTATAATAAAAT